CACTACTCTTTTTCTGTTTCTCACATGAAGTATTTAAGCATCATCTATTGTTTTCATTTTAGTGTTAATTCACTCCTGAATTGTTACTTCTATACAAGTTTATTTCTCCTTCCTTGTTCACATCACTTGTTATTTTTACTTTGGACTCTAAGGGCCGCTGTTGGTCTTTACAGCACATTTAAAGCTTTACACCCTCTGTACTCTTCTAAATATACAGTAGGAGAGCAAGACAGTCGCTTATTTTCAACACTGATTTTAGGCGGATATATATTCGGTCTCAAACTGTGGATTACAACTGCATAGAGAGAAGGACGATATCGACACTTTAAAAGCCTTTTGTCGACATTCTTCTACGTGGACTTGGATTAATTGATTGAGAAATATGCATTCTTTCAGGATCGCTTGCACGGTTAAATGGCAAGTAAATGCCTTCATCCTTGTTGTTCTCATCGATGCGACAATTTGCCAAATCCGCTACTCTGTTCCAGAGGAAATGAGGAAGGGCTCGTTTGTGGGAAATGTGGCTGAAGATTTAGGTATCGACGCTAAAAGACTGAAATCAGGCGGTGCCCGAATTGTTATCAGTGACAGCAGTGAGTATATTAGGCTGGATGTAGACAAAGGAAATCTGGTCGTGGGAGAGAGAATAGATAGAGAGCAGCTTTGTGGACAGACATCGCCCTGCAGCTTGAATTTGGAAATGATTATGACAAATCCAATTCAACTGCATAGCGTTGTTGTGGAAGTACTGGATGTTAATGATAATGCCCCTGCGTTTCAGGAGAAGGAAATGCATTTAGAAATCCTGGAATCAGCTCTTCCAGGAACCGAAATATTGCAAGTGAGTGCAACAGACCCCGATGTTGGCATTAACGCTTTACACGGCTATACAATACACCCCAAAACACATTTTAATATAAAGGTCTCATCTAGCCCAAATGGTCATAAATATGCACAGCTTTATCTATCTGAACCTTTAGATAGAGAGAAAGAAGGAAAGCTGCTCCTCACGCTAACTGCTGTGGACGGAGGTGAACCACAGCGTTCAGGCACCTTAAAAATACACATAACTGTGCGAGATACAAACGACAATGCTCCCGTATTCATGCAATCAATTTTCAAGGCTTCTGTTAAAGAAAATGTCCCAAGAGGAACGTTAGTAGTGAGATTTAGCGCAACAGATGCAGATGAAGGGATAAATGGCCATGTTACTTATCATTTTAATCGAATGTCCGGTAATTTTGCCGAACTATTTCGTCTGGACGAAAATACCGGCGATTTAACAGTAACTGGTATAATTGATTATGAAGAGAATAAATTATATGAGATTGGGGTACAGGCAAAAGATCAAGGTGGACAGAGCACATCAACAAATGTGATAATTGAGGTTATAGACGTCAATGACAATCCTCCTTTAATAACATTAACCTCGTTTTCTAATGCTATTGCTGAGGATTCATCTAGTGGGACTACCGTGGCTATCATAAACGTCAAAGATCTGGATTCAGGCAAAAATGGAAAAGTAGACTGCTCAGTAAACAGCAATATTCCGTTCGCAATTCATTCATCTCTAAAAAATTATTATACTCTGGTCACAAACGGTGTGCTCGACAGGGAGCGTAATCCTGTTTATAATATAACTTTCTCGGCAGTGGATGAAGGGAGCCCACCCCTCTCAACAAACAAGACAATAACACTTAGAATAGCAGACGTAAATGATAATGCCCCGATATTTGAACATAGTTATTATGAAGCTTCTGTTATGGAGAATAACTCACCGGGATTGTCTGTGTTTTCCGTTAAAGCACGCGATTCCGACTCAGGACAGAACGCACGCGTGTCTTACTTGCTTATTGATACCGAGTTAAATGGTAGTCCTATATCTACTTACATATCAGTAAACGCAGAAAGCGGAGTTATACAGGCACTACGATCATTTGACTATGAACAAAT